AAAATTGGTCCAAAGCTAAGTTGACATGTAAGAAGCTTGCTAGTGGATTAATGTGGAACGCTAAGAACAAGTATGGCTATCATTCCTTACCGCAAGGTTCCGTGCCGAACAATCGTGCTCACTGAAAGCTAGCAACCACTTCCAAGTTTACATCGCAACCCTACCGTGATATAAGAGATCTTCTATAACAGAAAATGTAAGTTCGAGCTAGACCTTTAAATGAACATTAAGATCAAGTAGAGACTAAGCAAATAGAAGAGTTATTAGAATGGATAATATTTTATGGGACATCCTGTGCGTAAAATACATTAGTCTGTTTGTATGTTTGTATTTGTTTACACAAATTTTTGTCTCCAAACCGAATTAGACCAAACTTTACACACATACACTTCGACGCAGAACAGTCAACGTAGATATTTTCTTCTAGTATCGACTGATTGTAGAATTCATTAATTTCGAATGTTAGACACACAATGGTGGAAATGTGTGCAAAGTGTACGCCGAAATGCCAATAAGAAGATGACACCTCCTCCCCTCGCAAAAACATGGACCTTTTGCTGGCTTAATGATTACTGTTTTTCGCCCCAGCTTGCTGATAATCTGTGTGGACGGGAAACACATGAAGGTTACAGATATTTTGACTGTCAAAATAATGTTCGTTTTGTGTACAAGGTAAGGATACTCAGTGACCGTGACCTTTCAAAATGCGGATATAACAGATGCAGCTGAAAACGATATTTCGATTTCAAATTTAACTTGTAATTTTCTAAACTTTTTTGTGAAGTTCTGGAGCTTCTTACCGCGAAAAGTAGCTTGCACTATTGCCGGTTATTCCTCAATTACTTCAAATTTCCTCTAAAAAGCGCTGTACAATCAGTTGACTATAGGCTTCACCAGAGATTGCACTTTCTCCCTTGAGGGATTTTGAGATCATTTAATGGCAGATGGTGCACTCCTTTCGTGGATAAAAAATTACACAATTTCCTTCAAGGAATCGTTTAGCAGATATGAAAAGCAGATTTTAAATCAGCATTTTGAGTCGCATCCGCCAATATGTCTCTTATGTCGAAATGCTACAGTTACA